ACACCAAGGACGGCGCCAAAAAACACGTCGCCTTGTACACGGATAGCCGCAAACCCATCCCAACGCTCGGCCAACTGCGCTCCAAGATATTCATTCTCCAGGATTTTAAATGCGCAAAGGGGACGACCTATGGGCTGACCTGGGACGGCCCGCAAATGGTGCTCGAAGACAACTTTGCCATCCAAGGCGAACGTCGTCTGGCCACCAAATGGGCCGCTGTCGACATGGCATTGAATAGAGCGAACCAGGGCCCTATGACAAACGACCGCCTGTATGTGACGCATAATTCGGCTGCGATTGGTGTGTTGCCCATCCAGGCGGCCGCTGGGGTCCTGAATAAGGTGCAGGTCGGGATGAATTACAGGACGGGCGAATGGCTGGATGCACATATTGATGATAAGACGTCGATGAGGACTGGCATCGTGATATTCGATTTCCCGGGAAAGAAGTTGATTGGTAGTGTGCTTGCTTGGAATAAGCACGTTGGGGCCAAGTTGCAGCTGTGACTCCATTGTTGCTGCAAGTTGTGATTTATCTGGCGTCGCGGTCTCCTGTTTAGTAATAGATATACCCCCTTGGCGTTATGGTTTCAGTGGAGTGGCTTCTGATTTTCTGAGGTTTGAAGGGATGCTCTGTTTGAATACTCCTCAAGTGGCCGGATTTGGTTTGACTTTGCTCATAGAAGTACCTAGATAGGTGTTGGTCTACATTTAGAGTGCGCCAGTTGGGGGGCACCAATGAGTAGAAACTACCTGACACGTCGTGAGGTGAATTACATGGAGTAGTCTATTATTATAAATGTTAGTACTAGCAAATGAGTCTCTTAAAATTTGTATGAGATGGAGTGACCCAGAATAACCCTAGCACAACTCAAGCTGCTAACTAGTCAAGCATGTCGCCCCACCTTCTGCGTCTCGTCATTCTCCATCTCAAATGCCCACCAGACACTTTGTCCAGTCACCGCATATCAATTCCGGTAATTGATCTCTTCATGCCACATTGGCGGCATGCTCGGTCTCTGCGTCCCGCCGCAATGTGAAGAATGACATCTGTGCCCCAATTACGCCCATGAATCGCAGCAACAACGGCTGCTGGACCTGCCGCATCCGGCACAGAAAATGCGACGAGAAACACCCCATCTGCCGAGAGTGTGCCGATCGCGGCATTACCTGCCACGGTTACGGGCCCAAGCCAAAATGGATAGACGATGAATGGAAGTTGCAGGCCGAGCTTTCGCGAATCAAGAAGACTGTCAATTCTAATCTGCGCCGGAAGAAAAAGCTGCAAGCCTGCAAGGCCTCTCAAGCTCGTCCATCCGAACATCAGAATGACCCAAGACAGGAGGAAGAAGACGGCTACCCGGCACCGCCTGATGCGCCGACAACGCCCGACATGGCATTTCGAGAAGCACAGCTCCTGGTCCACTACCTGGATTATATCTTCCCCCTCCAGTATCCATACTACAAGGACGAGCCCTCGCTCGGCGGCAGAGGCTGGCTCTTCTGGCTTCTCATGAAGCGCGGCCCGCTGCACCAAGCCGTGCTCACCCTCTCGGCGCTTCACCACCATACACAAAGCGCGGGTGCTCCCGGAACCCGAGAATCAGAACTCATAGGGTATCACACCAATGCCCTGCAGCGACTGCGGCAAGTCCTTCAGGACTGTGACATGGACAAGTTTGCAGAGAGCCGGCAGCAAATGGTTGAGTTTTTGGCATGCGGTTCGGCACTCATCAGCTTTGAAGTAAGTCCCCGTCAAGGGTGGGTTTCTTTCCACGACAAGACTAATAGGCGCAGCTATTTCGAGGAGGCCTTGACAACTGGCGGCCGCACCTGGACGCCCTCGCGTCCGTTGTGAACAAAATCCTCGTGCCGCACCCTTCGACAGGCGCTCGGGAGTCGGAAGATGGTGTGGACAAGGCGCAGCCGTTTCTTGTCACAAAAGTTCTCTGGCTTGATATTCTCGCCTCCACGGCGACGGGAAAGGCACCGCAAACAAGGTATCAGAAATGGCTGCAACTGGACCAGATTGACATGTCGAGGCTGACGGGGTGTCGAAACTGGGTGATGCAGGCAGTCGGGGATATATCCACAATTTCTTCACGGAAAACCAGGTCGGGATTCTCAAAGTCGGATGAATTGCAGCTCAAGGCTCTTGAACAGGTTCTTGACGAGGGCATCGAGAGGATGAAGCTGGGAGAGGTTCGTTTTCGAGCACCCGGTGTGGGCGTTCATTGACATGGCTGACGACGCGTCAACAGGAGGATCGACAAGCGTTGGTTTACGCGATTACAATGGTGTTTGCGACTGCGGCCTTGGTCCAGATCGAAACAATGCGAAATGCCCCATCTCCTGGGATGAGACTCTACACCCGCGTGGCCAGGGCGATTGAGGCAATGGAGGACCTTCCTGCCGGCGTCACATTTCGAGGCCTGGCGTGGCCGGTGGCGACTGTCGGAGCCGTAGCGGCAAGTGATCAGCAGAACTTCTTCGAGAGGGCCATGAAAGATGTATTGGATACGTCGGGGTCCGAGTTTACAAACTGCGGAACAGTTCTCAATGTTTTACGACGATGTTGGCAGCATCAGAGGGAGTCGGGCTTGGTGTGGACGTGGCAGGATGGCATGACGGCAATGGGAATATGTGCACTTCTCTTATGAGAATGGCTACACTTGACAAGCTGGCAGAATTTGCCAGGAAACTACACGGCAATGCCGGCAGGGACAAAACAAAATTCGTTAATGCACTTTGTACTAATGGCATGCACTATCTAGCACCGGGCCAAACACGTTGGCGGGGTTGGCCTCGAACGTAAAAAGACCAGCGAACAAGTCTCCGTTACGCGGCAATGGAAGTCGATTTAGGGAATGCGCGAGGGTCTGGATATTTTCACAGCTGAACCCTGAAACGGCCGTTAGCACACCGTAAGTGAAACCCGTGGTAAGCAAAGACGAGAGAGAAACAATTGTCCGCTGAAATCAGAAACAGGCGAAACCAATTGCCCGTAGGAAAAAATCCACATGACAAGTTCGGTACGGCGAGTGAAATCCATTCATCAGGGGAGCTGGACAAGGCGAGAAACAAAAGACGGCGAAGCCAACTTACCAATTTATATCACAATTGAATTGTCAACGCGCGTAGCGCGATAGGGAAGCACTGTTGCCGAATGTGCCGAATGTTACATGGCACGTCCCACTCGGTGCGCCGTGTCACAACAGAGTTGGGGATATTGAAGCTTCAAAAAAGTGGAAAAAGTTTGGGGTTCAGAGTCCGCTTCCTTCAATCTGTTGGTCTGGTGATCACGTGCAAGTAGCAATGTTGATCGTTTCCGTGAGGACGAGGAGGCCGAGGGGTTTGAGACTTAGGGTTGCGCTACTGACAGCTGGCCGTCTTTGCGTGAAACCTTCAGTCGGACGGTCAGGCGCGGGTTCGGAGGCTCATCGTGCAATCTTCATCTTCCTACGATGGGCTCGTGCCTTGGGCCTGAGCATAGCCAGAAACTCCCTCAGATGGCCTGTTTCGGGGGCTGTTTATATACTTGTATTCCGAAGCTACAGTCCAAGAAAAGGGGGCAGCCGCGTTCTCAAGAGCCACCTTCGGCGAGTGACTCATCTCGGCGTAGATCAAATGTCTGCCCCATCACACTCAGCCGTTCCTAGATAACCACCCTGGGTTCATGTCGCATTGGTTATGCTTAGCGAGAATATTGAGTCATCCTTTTAGGTAACAACTCATTGCTACGGCTGCACACGCAATGGTCTTGGCGGGCGGTAAACCGGGTGACTATTGAAGCATTGGAGCGCAGGTTGCAACCATGCAGCCGCTGCTGAAATTGGACATTGGGACCGCGATGCCAGAATTCGCTGGATGGCTGAAAGATAGACGCCCAGCCCGAGATTACTTTCCACGCTGCAGAAATGAAAACATGAATCGACGGCCACAATGGCTCGTTTTCTTGGTCCCGCCACTTGTCATCCATCCTGCTTGTTTATAAAGCAGGGAAAGAGCGATTGTTGGCCCCTGCCCGCAAATGTTTCACGGCCTGGTTCCAAGGAAACCCCGCCTTGGATATTATACATTGCACTTGTGCGGTTCCAAAGTCTTTTGACTGTACTGCAATCTGGCCAGGTAAACTGGCGGACTCGAAAACAATGAACCCTCGTCCGACATAACGCCTTCGTATCCGTCCTAAGCGCGTCGAACCCCCGATAAGCAGTCGAACATGTCTTACATCACGCAAACGGTATTTCGTCATTTTACGGGCAGGCGGGTGTCGAACAGTTGCGAATGACACAAGAACCAAGCGCTCCTTGACGTGTTGGTCAACGCGCGAGACAATGAACGTTTTCAGACCGGGTGCCTGTCCAGATCGACTGATGTAAGCCTCCATACCTAGTCGCTGGCTCCTTTACAATCTCTAACATATAGTCAGGCACGACTTAAATGAAGATTCGGCTTGGCTTCGAGCTTGTCCGCTTTAGACCTCTGCCGTCTGCCCCAAATGGAGAAGAAGCTTATTTCGGGGGCCACGGCTCGTCAGTCGGCGCTGAACCTACCAGCGCCACGTCATAGGGATTCAATTCATATTTCCAGCCTATTGAACTTGTTCCAATCCTTGGCTTTTGTGATTGGTTGTATTTTTCTCAGGAGGTAAACCGCTCGGCGAGCTGTCCACAAGATGGTTTGCTCCGGCCAAGCAACAGGCCGCTGTTCGTACCTTGATGTCGTTGTTAGGGTCATCGATGCCGGTTTCGTTCATGGTCTCTCCTTGTGCGACATGATAGTGTGAAGTAAACTGCTAGATGCATGCCGCGTCCGTGGCGCACTTTTGCCTAGCTGCATGGACAGCAGCTAATGTGAATGCTCGCGCACGATGACAATGGATAGACTAGTATAGCTATCTTGTCGGCCCCATGTGCGAATCCTTCTTTTTGTTCCATATTCTGCACTCATTTGACTTGATCCATCTGTCTTGCTACTGAAAAGAGGTCCATTAACAACATGGTTAGGCTTCGGGCAGCCGTGCCATTGCTGGCAGCGGCCTTCGGTGTAATTGTCTCTGCCAAGGTTGTTCCTGGCGCATTCATTTTTGAGTTCGAAGACGACCAGGTATGTTGAACAGGCCGATTAATTACTTGCCTCAGTGATGGGGAAATGACAATCCAGTTCTAACAGGGGGTTGCCACAGGATACAGCTCCAGCTTTGGACACTGTTCGCAAAAATGGCGACGTTAGAATGGATCTCGACTTTGAGCTGTTTAGAGGCATATCGGTCCAGCTGCATGACCTCGAGAAAGCCAATAAACTCGTGGACGAGCTGGCTGCTCTGCCTAGCATTAAGAGGTGGTGGCCTGTTACCTTGCATAATGTTCCCGATGCCCAAGTTCACTGGGCGGGAAATCCTGACAGGGAGAAGATCCTCCAGGCTCGAGACAACTCAACGCTGACAAACAACTTTTCGCCTCATTTCATGACTCAAATCGACAAGCTGCATGCCAAGGGATACACCGGCAAGGGTGTCCATGTTGCTGTTATCGACACTGGTGTAAGTTTGAGTGTTGTTGCTGGCAACAGTCGGATCTTCCAAAGAGCCCCTTTGCAGCTTTTTAGACAATGCCGCTTTGACATGTTGCATCATGCTAACTCAATACCTCCAGATTGACTACAAGCACCCCAGTCTGGGGGGATGTTTTGGAAAAGGATGCCTGGTCACGAAGGGGTTCGACCTTGTTGGCGACAAATTCGACGGGAAAAATGCACCGATACCAGACGACGACCCTATGGACTGCCAAGGACACGGTTCCCACGTTGCCGGCATCATTGCCGCGACCGACGAGAAATTCGGCTTCACCGGCGGTGCGCCAGGGGTAACTCTCGGCGCCTACCGCGTTTTTGGCTGTGCCGGCACAGTCTCGTCTGATGTCATCATTGCAGCAATCAACCGAGCCTATCTGGACAACGCCGACATCATCACAATGTCCATTGGAGGCCCAAACGGCTGGAAGCAAAACGCGTGGGCCGTCACGGCCAGCCGCATCGTAGCCAAGGGTGTCATTGTCACCATTTCTGCGGGCAATGAAGGCAGCCAAGGCATCTTCTACGCAAGCTCGGGCTCTTCCGGTGAAGGTGTGGCGGCCATTGCCTCGTATGACAATATGCACATGCCTACGTTGGTATACTACGGCAATGTCACTGTGGGCGCCGACAAACCTCAAGAGTTTCCATACGTGCTCGGGAACCCCGACAAGTTCGACATCACCCTGCCTCTCTGGGTCGATACCTTTAACACATCGGTGGCCGCGGATTTGTGTTCCAGTCTCCCTGAGGACACGCCCGATTTAAGCAAGTACATAGTCCTTATCCGCCGAGGCACCTGTAGCTTTAAAGAAAAGATCTCCAATGCCGCCGCCAAAGGAGCCCAGTATGTCATGTTCTACAACTCAGTCGACGCCCATCCCACGCAACTGAATGTCAAGAAAGATATCCCCGGAAGCGTCAAAGGGGTCGGCTTTGTCGACAAGAAAACGGGCAAGGATTGGGTCCAACAGCTTGAGGCAGGCAGCAAGGTCACCGTGGCCCTCGGCTCAAGACTAGACACGAAACGCATTGTCAAGGACCTCAACAATACCGCCTCTGGAGGCACCGTCAGTGCCTTTAGCAGCTGGGGCCCGACGTGGACAATGGACGTCAAGCCTCAGTTTGGTGCCCCCGGCGGGCATATTCTGTCCACGTACCCCCGGGCAAAGGGCAGTTATGCCGTTATCAGCGGCACCTCAATGGCCTGCCCCCTCACAGCCGCCATCTACGCCCTGCTCGTGGAGGTTCGCGGCACGAGGGACCCTGTGTTGCTCCAAAAGCTGCTGTCCGCCAATTCCAAGCCGCAGGTGTTCAACGACGGCGCCATCTTCTACGACAGGCTCGCGCCTGTTGCCCAGCAAGGCGCCGGTCTCATCCAGGCGCACGATGCCGCCTTTGCCACGACGCTCCTCGAGCCCTCGAGCCTCTCCTTTAACGAGACGACGTACTTTGCCCCCAGCAAAAACTTCACACTCACCAACCACGGTGACAGCAAAGTCACCTACGAAATCTCCTATGTGCCCACCCTGACCGCGGCAGCCTTGAAGCCAAACGCCAAATCCGTCACCGTCTTCCCCGGCGAGTTCTACACCGACTCGGCTGCCATACGCTTCAGCGAATCCAAAGTCACCCTCGCAAAGGGCGAAACAGCCACCGTCGAGGTGCTCGCCACGCCCCCAAAGACCCTGGACGCTTCCCTCCTCCCCGTATGGTCCGGGTACGTGCGGGTCGACGGCACAGACGGCACGTCCCTCTCGCTCCCGTACCAGGGCCTCGTCGGCTCGCTCCGCAACCACACCGTCCTCAGCCCCGGCACGGCATACATCGCCGGGGCTAACGACAAATACAGGAGGCCCGTGGCTGCCAACGCCGTCTTCACCATCCCGCGGCCCGGCTCGACCAACAATGCGGCGCTGCCCGTCGTCGTCTACACCCCCCACCTGGGCAGCCGCCTGTTGCAGCTCCGCGTCGCGCGCGTCTCCAAGAGGGGCGCCCTGACGCTCATCGGCCAGATCAAGGGTTCCCCGGTCCAGTATGTCTCCCGCGCGAAAGACGCGCTCATCTGGGACGGCCGGCTTAACGATGGCATGTACGTGCGGGAGGGAACGTACAGGATAATAGTCAGGATGCTGAGGCTGTACGGCGACGAGAAGGACGCCACGGCCTGGGATGAGAGTGAGACGCTGCCGTTTGTCATCAGGTATGCCTAGGAGGGATATGGTGTCTTTTCTATTTCTTTCTTTTTCGGGGGAAGGTCCTGGGCCTTGGGTGTTGTTACACGTTACACAGTATATAAGGGGGCAAAGCACATATAATACGTGGCGTGCGCCCGTTTTCCGCGACGGAGGCCACAATGCGCTTGATTCAGTCTACCCTATCTGACGGAGGTCCAAAATGGACAGGGAACAAAGACGCAATGCTATGTATAATGTAGTTCAGCTTTAAACAATGAGAACCATAAATAAAGGCACGAGGCCATGTATACTACCGTCCGTTTCAGCTTCAACCGGGTATCTACGTGAAAATAAATAAAGGCGCGGTACGGCATGCAACCCAGTCTAGGGCCATGGCCTCAATTGAGCCATGTAGTATGTACACATTTACATCCATGTGCCTGCCAGCAAATACGCGATGCAGAAAATAACGCCGGTGCCGTCTGCAGCACGAGTGCAAAGAATCATGTACATCAATTCACGAGGCCAGTATCATTGTGTTTGAAATACATTATGACGTCTTAATTTTGATCTAGACTAAACCTAGTGGTACCCAACGCTGTCCCAAACAGGGGTATAATGCTGTTCAACGCTCCAGAGAAAACAACGCTAAAAATATATACACACACTCGAAAGAAGGGGAAAAAAAATAAAAAAGGGGCTACGTGGACCTCCCAGACTCGCTATGTCTCCTGGAGCCCGGCGTAGACCCTGTCCTCTGGGCATCCAGCTCCTCCAGGTCGTCGTACTCGATGGGCGGCTCGGCAGGGTAGGCCGGCGGGCTGGGCGGGACGTCCTGATAGACGGGGGGCGCCTCGTTGTCCCACGACACGCCGAGCCCCGGGTACTCGGTGAGGTTGACGGCAAAGTGCATGCGGAGGATCCTCCCGGTGCCGGTCTGGGCGGCGAGGTGGGTCTTGCCCTCGGGGGCAAACTCCTTGGACACGATGAGCTCAATGTGCAGGGCGTGGGAGACCTCGGTGCCGTCCTGGGTCTTGAGGCCGCACGCGTACCGGGGCTCCTTGCCGTGGGTGCGCGGCTGGTTGACCGCGTAGTCAAACTCAAAGTCGACGGTGCCGTCGTTGCCCGAGTAGTCCGACTTCCAGCCCTCGTGGAGCTGCTTCTCGCCGAGGAGGCGGGTTTCGGTGCGGGGGGCGCCCCTCTTGGCCTCGTTGTCGGCGTCGGCGTCGGCGGCGGCAGCAGAAGAGGCGGGCGCGTGCCTGTCGCAGGCGGGGGCGATGGTCTTGATGGTCTCCTCCAGCTTCCAGGTGACCTTTTTCAGCTTCCACAGGTCGACCGTCTTGACGCGCTCGTTGTGCGTCATCAGGCCGTCCAGCTTGAGGGTGACGGCGTTGCTGCCCGAGGGGTGGATGACGGCCGTGTAATGTGCCGACGCCTTGATGTTGGTCGGGGGGAAGACGCGCACCGAGTGGTGAGGGTACAGCGGCTCCGGAAGCGAGCGCTTGACGTGCAGCGAGCGCTCGAAGCGGATGGGCAGGCACGAGGTCGAGGCTGGCCCGCGGACGGCCACGGCCTCGGCCTTGAAGTGGTATGAGATGGAGACGATGGGCGTGTCCGTCGACGCGGGCAGGCTGCCGTCGAGCAGGGTCGAGAAGGGGAACTGGTGCCTGCCGCGGCGCAGAGATGTGGGATGGGCCAGGAACTGCCAGTTCTTGAGCTCCGTGACCTTGGTCTGGCAGTCGGCGCAGTGGCTCTGGAAGGGCTTCTTCTGGGTGACGTGCATGGTCAGGCTGGCGGTGAAGCTGTCCACCTCGATGGCGTCGGCGTGGACGTCGATGTACATGAGGCCCGAGACGAGGGCGCCGGTGCTCTCCTCGGGCGAGCCGTAAAACACAATCGGCGGGCTCTCGATGCTCCAGTCCATGGAGGCAGGGGCGTGCGGCCCGCCAGACGAGGCCGAGTGCGATGAGCCGGCGGCGGCGTCGTGCCTCGAGGAGCGGCCAAAGTGCAGCGACAGGCGGTGCTTCTTGAGGGCGTCTCCCAGCTCGGGCATCTTGACCGAGTGCTGCGCATGGTCCTCGGAGTCGGAGGCGTAGGGGCTGGCGCTGACCGAGTTGTTGCGGGACGTGGTTCGGGATCGGGTGATGGCAGACTTTTTGATATGCGAGATGTTGCCGGACGAGGTGCGGAGGAAGTTGGCGACGAGGTGGGGCATGATGGGCGGGAGGTTAGGTTAGGTTGCCTTGCTGCGTGTCGTTGTGTATCGAACTATTCTATTCAATGGGAAGGAGCAACCGTCGAGTCGGATTCCAAAGCATCCACTGTGAGTGCCCGTGGGACCCAAGCCTCGTCTGGTGGTGATGATGGCCTTGGGCAGCTCTTCAGACCAAATTTGAACGTACCCCTCCTATGCCCAGCGCTGGCAAGGGAATTGTCTACTCGGAGGGGCACAAGACGCCGAAATCGAGTCGCCGGGACGAATTCTCCTCGTCTCTGCTTTTCTTGCTGGCCGATTGCCCTCCCCTCCCGTGCCAGCGGTGACGGCTCCTCGGCAGGTAAATGCCGGGTTGGGTGGTGTGCGACGTGTTTTTGGGACGGAAAATGCTTCCCGTCCGATTGGGGCCTGACGTATGCGCACACGGGCGGCAATGTCCGTGGCGACGATGATTGATGGGGATTTGCTCCGATGGCGCTAGCCGTGCAGCAGACACCGAGTCGAACAGGTGTGACGCCCGCCGATGCGACGTGGGCCGTGCCGTGGCCTTGGTGACGCTGATTTGTTTCTTTTTTTTTCTTCTCCCTTTTCCCGGCTGCCGTCTCTTCTGGCACCGATTTTGCAAAATTGGTGTGTTGTGTAGTGGCCGTTGCAGTTCCTGGAGGTAGACGTCGTCGTTGGGGTTGGTGTAAGTGAAGCCAGTGAGGCGGTCATACAAGTTGTCGTCAATGTACACGGCTCGCCAGATGCCAGATGATAGAACAACAGAGAGTAAACAATTACCAACAGGGGTCAATTTACAAATGTCAAGAGCCAGATGCTGGACAAGTGCGATAACGGGGCATTTCAGAATCTATGGAGGGAGAGGACATGGCCCGATCTTATATACAAACCCGCGACGTGGTGCGAGGTTGCGCCGACGAAACGGCATGTTACGGCCGGAGCTGGGCCGTTGGCGAAAAAACAAGCAAAAAAAAAAGGGCAGAGTCGATCCACGCGCCTGCTTGGAGGATCCACCTTTTACGGAACCAATGTGTCATGGTCGAAAGGCGTGGGCGCGAGAACGAATGCGTGGGTACCTGTATGCAGAGTTGGCATGGAGGTACCTTGGCTGTACCTGGCGGTGCTGGGCCGGGATGGGTCTGGCGCGACACCTGGTGACTTGATTTTTTTTTTTCTAAACTTGACTCTTCCCTTAGCACTCTGGGGCCATGCGCCAGGAAGTACTCCGTACTCTGCACCGGCGGAGCCCCACCGAGTGGATGCCGCACGCAACACAGGGAGGGCAGTCCGTCTTCAGCGGGTGGTACAGCGCTCCACGGCCCTGACGCATTCGAGTGTTTGAGAGTGCAGTGGCAGACTGGTCGCCCGCATCCACCAAACGCTGCTTGAACCAGAAGTCCTTTTTGTTTTACAGTGGGCAGACCCGGGCATAGACTGAAGTGGGCTCCGTAACTTAATTACCAAGGTACAAGTACACATGTACCTACAAGTAACTTTATGCATGGCCGGTTGTGCCTGCCTTTGGAGGCAACATTAAGCTTAGTGCCAGTTGAGTAGAATCCACCAGAAAGGGCTATCAATGAGTAGTTAGGGTTAAAAATTACTTGAAAAACGAAACCAAAGGACCCCTTTTGCCCAGCAGGACGCTTATTTTTTTTCTCGGGTCTTTCGACTTTGGAGGCATCGCGCAATGGAGCACATGCACGGACATGGAGTCTTGTGGTGTTCAACGCTGGCTGTTCTCTGTATTCCTGCCTCCAACGGTAAGCGTGGGTGGGCATTGGGGTGCCAGTGGCGCTGAAAACAAGACTGGGCTGGTACCACCGGCTGACACCGTTCAGTTGACTTCGATGGTATAGTTGCATGCACCAGACACCAGACCATTTGACAGTCGTATCATTGATGACCGTACCTTGACCAAACGAATGCTTCGTCAGCTTTGGAACTCATCGCCAGCAGCGACGCTATGCAAGCAACAGCGAGTACAGCCAAGGTACCTGCATCGGCACTTGCAGCTGTTGCTTTCAAATCCCCCAAAAGTGGCTGACTATGACTCCCACGCTTCACCCCAATCCAGCAATGTCGTGATTGTTCGGCTTCGGCTTCCAAGTTGACCTGTGACCTGGACGTCAACGGTGGCTGTTTGTAGGGCGTGCAAGGCCAAGGCGAACGGATTAACCACCTGAAAGGCGCATGTACATTGGTAGAGTACAAATTGTGGGACGGGCCAAGACCTTGCTTCGAGGCATCACTGAGCTCCGAATTGCGGCGCTGCGCCGGGGAGCTTCGTCTTTGCCATGATGTGCTCGTTTGTGGAATCCGGTCGAATCAAATAATACCAAAGCTGGCCAGCGGCGTTGCTGGGACATGTCATGGCTTGCGCCCTTGTTGGAATGACATGCGCACCAACTAGCCAGGCCAAGCTGGGAACGTGCCACTCCCAAACATTCAAACCAGTGGGCGGGACCCGCGGCGGAACGGCAGCCCGGTCGACCAGTTGACCTTTTCCGAGTCCCGAGCACGGAGTGCCAGGCCGCTGGTTGGTGTGCGCAGGTACTCGGGTGCCGTGTACTCGTGAGAGGGCGCCTTGGCCCAAACCACACCAACAACACGCGCAAGGGGGTCCCATCACATGCCCCCCAGTACTTTTCGCACGAGTCGCTCAGTTCAGACCGTCCTTGATAAGCACGATTTTGCATCATAATTGCATGTACCTACTAGTCTCCGTTGGCGCCATCCTTTACAATTAGTATTATTTTTAATTTGATACACATGTCAATACAAGGCGCGTAGCCCATGAGTCAATGGAGTCCACGAG